TTCTCAGTGCTGTGCTTTAACCCGCTGTGCCACCAGGGAGGACCAATACATTTTTAAGATGTTTTTAACAAAAAAGTGATTCCCACCCCACCTTGTCCCTTCCACCCCCATCCCCAAAACCTTTTTTAATATTCTTTTTTTAATGCTCTTGGCCATTTCCACAAACTTTAATACCACTGAAATGAACCTGCCAGATTTCAGTGTGTGTGTTTTAAGAAATATTAATTGACAAGAAGCTTAAAATGATCACCATTGATTGAGAAAGCTGTACCATTGGTAAATTCTGAATAACTTGGTTAAACTAGGAAAGTACCAGAAATTATGAAGTTAACAATAAGATGTTACTGTCTATTACCACAATTTTTGGTTGTTATTAAATTCCACCAACTTTCTACAAAACAATTTGAGAAGTAGTTAATTATATTCCAAAACAGATGGAAAGTATGTTTAACTGGGACAAAAGAACCCAGCTTCTAAGTCTTTGAACTGTTACTAACAATATACATGACTACCTCAGTTTTTTTCCCATCTCTTGTGCTGTTGCCATTCATTAATATAGAGTCTAAAAAAGATTATAATTCACTAAATCTTTAGTGAACTAAGTACTAACATAGAAGAAAATGTACTTCTCTGGGGTCCCTTCTTAAAAGAATGTAAAATTTAAAAGTGTCTGTGTAGAAAGAGCCAATAATAAATTGATTTTATCATGTTCACCATATCCTTGTAAACAAGCTTCCTGTTTTTCTTTATGTAGCAAAGCTGTTGGAATGCCTTCCCCTGTGTCACCAAAGTTGTCACCAGGCAATTCAGGAAATTATTCTTCTGGGGCCAGTAGTGCTTCAGCAAGTGGTTCTTCAGTGACCATTCCACAGAGGATCCACCAGATGGCAGCCAGCTATGTTCAGGTTACATCCAACTTCCTCTATGCCACTGAAATTTGGGACCAAGCTGAACAGCTTTCCAAAGAGCAAAAAGGTTGGAGAAACTTTGATTAAGGGATTTAGTTGTTTAAAGGAGCTTTTATTATCTAGTTAAATATGGTCTGGCCTGCATTTGGTTTATTCTCTCGTCTAGACTTAATGATAAGTGTTTGTTAATTTCCTTTTCTTTGTAGTCATACTAAATATATTGAACTTGATAAAAAAAAACATAGCTTTCACTATACTGGTGACACAAATTAAGACAAAAATAGTTTTTGTTCTAAGACAGATATGCCTCTATTCTGGCACATTAAATGCAGAGCTTACTATAAAAGTAATAAAGTACATGTTCTACTTGAGGATGGTTAATAGGAATTTGACTGTAAGCATAGGATTATAGCTCTACATTTGCTCATGTGATTATAGCTCTACATTTGTTCATATGATGTTTTATAAGAGTACATTCATACTGGATTTTTAGGTGAATGTTGTAAGAAACAGGTGATAAAAGAGAATAAAAAGTAAATAATTTTCTTGTATTTAATATTAGGTCATATGAGGCTTTGTAACTTTACATTGAGAATTACAAAATATTTTAATGCCTTTAGCGGTAAGTGCTCACTTACTCTAATAGATGTAATTAGCATATATGTTTGTGTAGCCTTTTACTCAGGTATATCCCTTCTAGGGTGGTACTAAAGGAGCCTATCTTGCCCTTTTGTCAGCATATATTTATATACTTACTACATGAACACGTCAGATGACAATTATGTATGTTAGCTGCATCTGCAATTATCATTTCACGATATATGTGAATCAAGGCTTAATGCCTCAACCTACACAGTGAAGTATGTCAATTATATCTCAGTAAAACAAGACGAGGGAAATAGTGAAAGAACTATAGAAGGGAATCCCCAGCAGAAAGTATAAATGCTGTCAGTACTGCTCACAAAAAGTTATAAAGCTACTTAAAATAACTCCCTCTGCTTTTGTTCCATTTTCTCTGATACCAGTTTTCTTGCCTCAGTTTTACTGTAATTTTTCCATTCTGTATCATTTTTTGTATTGCAATTTCCAAACATTGCCAAAGGAAAGAGCTTCAGTTCAACAATGCTACTTTTATTTTTTTAAGATTTATTTATGCATACAGAACTGGGGTACAGGCCAGAGGTACAGGAGCAGTGAGAGGATTCACCAGAGACAGTGTGGGGAGCAGAACAGACAGATTGATGAAGTACACTGCTGAGGGGAGCAGCAGGTGAAGCAGGCTGGAGAGGTCTTCTGTGCCATGTGGGTCACCACCTTGGCCAGGGTTCAAACTTGTGCTGAGGCAGTTGAGGTTAGCTTCGCAGTGCTGTGCATTAACCTGTTGTGCACCAGGGAGGGCCCTCAACACTACATTTTACTAATCTTGTTCTTGTTCTTTCTCCCCACTCCCCACCCACCTCACTTTCTTTTCCCCTGGAGAATTTTAAAGCCAAAACTGTATTATGACATTGCCTCTGAGCAGACTTTGGTATGCCTCTTTAGGTGATTCAGGTGAAAACATGACTATCATACCTCTAACATAACCAGCAAAGTTAACAATATCTACTATATATCGCTTGATATATAGTCTACCATTATACATCTCAGTTATCTCAAACACACTTTTTTCTGACAGGATCCATCATCAGTGTTAAATATGTTCCCCTTGTCCACTCTTTTTTTTCCCCCTGGCCATGCTATTGATGTCAAGGAGAAACTGTAGAATGGACTACTGACTACTTCCTCATGGTGTCATTTAACTTCTATAAAAAAAAATTGTATTTTGAGACTTGATTAGATTCAAGTTTATATTGGCAGGTAAGAATGCTTTGTAGGTGGGCCCTCTCTGGTGGTGCAGCAGGTTATAGCACAGCACTATAAAACTAGCTATAGCCACTTCAGCATGCATTCGATCCCTGGTCAGGGAGGTGACCCACATGGCACTGCAGACCTCTCCTGTCTTGCCCGCTGCTCCCCTCAGCAGTGTACTTCTGTTCTGCTCCCCACTTTAACTCTAGTGAATCCTCTCACCAACCAGTACCTCTGGCCTATATTCCAGTTCTGTATGCATAAACAAATTTTTAAAAAGCATAAATAAAGCATTCTTTTAAAAAAAAAAGAATGCTTTGTAGGTGGTGGTACTGTAGATTTCCTGTTACATAATAATATAAGTCATATAATGGCTGTCCTTTTTTAGTGATGGTAAGATACAACCATTGGTTCATTCAGGTAGTGTGATCTTGATCAGCTTGATATATGAGTCCCTGTGAAACTTTAACTTAGGATTTTAGCATCCACTGGACCATTATTTTTTTCAGTTAGGAAATAGGAAATTTAGCAAGATATTTTTATTCTGACATTTCTTCAGTGTTCATTAGTTGGAATTCTGTTAAAAAAAAAAAACCCTTCTCTCCTTTACTGTTGATTTCTTGTATGTTTGAATAGCCTGAGGTTTTAATCACGAGAATGACCTTTTCTCTCTGCATGTGTAAAAACTCCTTACTGAGTCCTCCATTCCTCTGTTTTTTCCTCAAACTGTATTAGGATCAAATTTAGTTATTGTCATTCCCTCCCTATTCCCAGCCTCATGCATATATAAACTTGTGTTTGTTCATTTAAAAATAATCCTTTTACTTCTGTTCCTTACATTTTAAAACTATTGTCTAAAATGAGATTTAATTTACCAATCTTGCCTGGTATATGTTCATAACAGAAAGGTTAAATACAAGCTACCCCAAGTTCTAACCTCCTCTATAAGGTACTCTTAAGAAAAGTGTGAAGCACACAATTTTTTGTTTGCACCTCTTACTTATACAGAAACAGTTCAGAGAGTGTTTAAGTAGCAGTATACTGTAGTACTAGATCTCCATTCTAATGATTTTCCTGCATAACGTGGCAATTTTAGTTTCTTTCAGTACAATTCTGTTCATTCAGCACGTGATTCCTGACCATATAGGCCTTTTAAAGTGTTTTATGACTAAACTAGAGAGACACTATGAGATAGCTTCTTCTAAAACATGGACAGTTATCAGTTTAGTGGAGGAAGCAGTGTTTTTAAATTTCATATGATATCTTCTACAATCTAGAGAAAATTTTAAAGCAATGATTCAGAGTTGTATGATTTAATAAGTGTTTTTGCTTTTCTAGAATTCTTTGCTGAACTGGATAAAGTAATGGGCCCTCTCATCTTCAATGCAAGCATCATGACAGACCTAGTTCGTTACACCCGGCAGGGACTACACTGGCTTCGCCAGGATGCCAAGTTGATATCTTGAACCGAACACATTCTCGTTGCCTCTGATTTTCTCCACAACACTGTGTCACATCACGAAGGAAAACTGCCATAACACGCCACTTAGTCGACACTAAGAATGAGGAATGGTTTTCTCCTCCCTGGTTCATGCGTTGTTTTTTATAACCCAAAACCATCACGTCAGTTGACCCCTTCAATATTCCCAATGTGAAAATTTTATTTAAATGTTTTTAAATCTGCAGCACATTGAAAAGATGGTTTCAGTAATCTGTACTAAGATTGAAATTACTGTTGCAGTTTATAACTAATCAGTTGAAATTCTATTTATTTTAATTTTTTTATGTTCCCAGATTGGGGGTAGTTAAATACTTAGTTATTTCTGCCTATAAATTTACTCTTGAATATTTAGCATAAATGTAATGTAGGCATTTTTATTTATATACTTTGGGAGCTTTGTTACCTAATAATGTTTTTTTGTCATAACTCTTCTAAGAGTAAGAGATGGTTCTTCTAAAATATGGACATGTTCTTTCTACGCCTACTACCTGAAATTATTTCAAATCTTAACTACAATTTTATTATTGTAGAATTTATACATAGTATTAAGGATATTCTTCTACACATGAAAAATCACTTAAATACGAGAAGATGGCATTCTACATGGATGTAAAATGAAATGTCTCATTTGGTATGCATTATTTCAAGAAATGTGAATGTGTGTTAATAACACTAGCAATCACAAGGTGACTATAGCTTGCATCAAATGCATTACAAAAGAAGGCAGGCAAACTTCCTAGGAGAAGCATATCATGTGAAGGGTTTCATAAAAGGACAATCTTGAACTTTGTGGATTTTATTAAAACCATGTGGGGTTTTTTTTGTTTTTTGTTTTGTTTTGTTTTGTTTGCTAATCATTTGACACTTAATTGAACAGTAAGTTACTGTTGAACAATGGATGAGCCAGCTCCTGAGGGTTGCTGCCTGTATCTCTTACTGATGATGTTTAAAGGATAAAGTGTCTCTTCAGAACTTTTTTGTAAACATAACCCCCTGCAGCAGATTGGTGCTCTGAGAAGAGCATGCAGTGACTGGTCTCAGAATGGACTGGAGTTCTGGTATGTGTGCTTTTTGCTCTACAACTTAGGGTTCTAATGCCTGATGTGGAGATGATGAATTTTTTAAAAACTATCTTGTATTTACTTCTTTTGTATTATGAAGGCCCTTATCAATATTGTGTTTCTGATGGGATCAGAAAATTCACATTAGAAAAGTATCTAACTTGGTTCAATGTGTGCTCTCTTGGAAAGGGGAGGGGTGCAGGGGTAGAGCTTAAGAAGTCACCTCTGTAAGAGTTGTATATCAAAATAACCTTTCCCTATAAGGTGCATATAGGAATGAATAGTGAGAAATGTACCCTCTATCGTTTGTTTTTAGTGCCCCTATCATGTCTGGTGTGCCTTAAATCTTACCTTTAAATGAAGACTCTATGGATTGTTTACAGAAGAATTTTTACACTAGGACCAGATCACCCATACAGTTGGTCTTCTGCAGTAATGATGTTAAAATTGCTTTCCTTTTAAATCTTTATATGGTCACATAAAGATGAATTCTTTCAGAAAAGCTAATGCTTTGGTACATGACTTAGTCTAACCTACTGCATGATGCTGCTTCAAAAAATAGCCTGTTCTCCCAATTCCATAAAATGAATCTAGCCAATCAGAAAAAAAAAAAAAGATTGCCATGCTATTTATAGATGATTGCTTACGCTTGAAATGGGAAAGGAAAGACAGAAAATCTCCAAGTGCAGTGATGCAGTGAATCCTCTGTGTTTGAGTCTCTTTTACACTTGTTTTCTGGAGCTAATGAACTTTCATTGTCCTGTGGCCTCCATGTTTATAAATGAGTTTCTTGAAAGTTTTGTACCTCAGATATTTTTTTGCATATTATTGAAGATTGAAGTTGACAAATTATGTTGAATTTAACATTTTTCCCTTGGAGAAATTGCCTCTGGTATCTTTCTGATGTAATCCTAGTGTGTTTTTGAACAGTTTTCCTTAAGAGGACAACTTCTCAGTGATCGGTGATAGTTGGTAAGAAATTTGCCACTGTTAATCACATAGATGTATGTCCTCCTGATTCCTCTGATTGTGATTTCTTAATTTGCAGTGATGTCTTAGAAATGGAAAAAGGGCACCTGTGAGTTTCAGTGTGCTCTAGTCTGGTGTGTGTCCTGAGAGGCAGCAGGAAGGTTTCTGGGATCACATTGATGATTTCGTTTAAGCAGAGTTTTCTGCCTGTTTTATGGTGCTGCTCTAAGATACTCACACTCTAAATCTATGTGAATCCCTATAGTTATCAAGTTTTCATTGTGGAGGGTTTTTCCTACCAGGTAGTAATGGGCAGTGGATCAAAATCCTATCCTAAATAATTGAATTGTCAATGTAATAGTAGTCTGTGGCAATATCACTTCTTCCCCTTTGTCTCTCTTCTCAGAAGTCTGTCTGGGTCTTCATCTGCTCCAGCATATATTTTGGACTCCTTTACAGGTGACCATTCCTCCTTCCTCAGTAGGTGTCTTCAGTGTTCTCTAAGCATTTCAAACTGAATTTGACAAGTGGCTAAATACTTGGTCAGAGACTTGTACTTAATATAGTTAGTTATAGAAATGGCAACTATTTTAAAAATTGCTCTGTTGACTGCTCTTTAAGACCACACTTGTATGCCAGGAGGCAGCAGCCTACACCATTGGACTCTTTACAGGCAACCAGCTAACAGATTGCAGTGGATGAAGTTGTCCCGCAGTAGTCTTGCCCAACCTGGACTGGGCTGTGGGGAGCACTCCCCTCCAGGTGATTCACACTTCCACAGTCCAGCCCAGGTCCAGTTTGGAAGCATTCAACCTATTTCTTGCCACAGTACCACCTTTTTTCTGGGCAAATAGCCAAGAACTGACTCCATTAGCAGTGAGCACTTCAGATAATTTATAGAGTTGCTAAAGAGTGGAGAAGGTTGACCATCACTAAATTAAACCTCCAATGAGAAAGCAATCTATAACGGGTGCACATGCCCACACACTCCTGTGCTCTGGGAGCTCTCCTACTGATGGATCCGTAGGCATCTGGGCTGCTCTTTGAATGACACACTTGTGGCTTTATTAGATTCACCATTGTTGTTGTTTTTTAATTGTTGTCTGTTTCTTTTCATTAAAGAAAGGTTTAATTGGCTAGATCAAACAGCATCATTGTGATACAATGACAGAAACTTTGGGAAATTACCGTTATTAAATGAGCTTGCATTGTGAAGCAAGAGCCTACGAAAGGCACCTGTTCTCCATGAAAGTTCTGGCTCTAGAGACAGCACTCTGGAATTTGACAGCAGCCAGTGGTTGCTCCAGTCAGTGATGCCTAGTTGTGTAGAGGAGAGGCACACTGCGTGCTCTTCTAGATGTGAGGGTATGCAACTTTGGATTTTAAAATTATGTACACATACACTTTATATATATGTATGTATGTATGTATGAAAACATGAATTAGTTTGTCAAAATGTGTGTGTTTAGTATTTTAGCTTAGTGCAACTATTTCCACATTATTTATTAAATTGATCTAAGACACTTTCTTGTTGACACCTTGAATATTAATGTTCAAGGGTGCAATGTGTATTCCTTTTAGATTGTTAAAGCTTAATTACTATGATTTGTAGTAAATTAACTTTTAAAATATATTTGAGCCCTTCTGTAGTGTAATGGGGCTCTTACAGGGTGGGAAGGATTTAAATTTTCCAGTTGCTAATTAAACAAAATGGCCTCATTATGTATTTTGAATTATAGGAGTTTGCCTCTGGGTCCCAGGAACACCTGGGAATATGTGTTTTAAGCAGCTTATGCTGTTTTTTTCATTGAAATCTAAATTGGGAAGCACAGCATTTCAAATCCATATAGACTCCTATAACTCATTTCAATTTTAGTTGACTTCATTTCAATTTCATGTTATCAATGTGGTGGGAGAGGCAGACTTCTTTCCAGTAATAATATTGCACATCTAAGGATGACAGAAGAGTTAAGTATTGAATGACTTCGGAATATTAGTGACAGGAGGCTAAATTGGTTATGTTTGTGAGCTTATCTTTCACTTATTCACTAATAGAGAAATTCAGCATAGACCTCTAGATCCCTCCTAGCCCCATGTTGGCAAGTGAGAGGAATTAAATTACTAACCGTTGGTCAAGTAGATGCAGATTCTACTCAGACGGGCCCTATGGTTAATGGGAAAAAAAAGTAAATAAATAAACTGCCTCCAGAAAAGGGGATGGGTGAAGTATCTAGCTCTCTTCTTTGCGATGGAATTAGGTCACAGAATGCATTAAGCCTAAACCGAGTCTTAAAGATATCTAAACAGTCCAACAGCCTTAAATAACCGTCATGTGATGATACTGACTTTTGGGAATGTCAGCATTGATCTCTCCTTGTCACCATTTAAGCACTCACCTAAGGATAAATTGCCATTCTGAAAAAGAATAAAGCTCTGTAAACGATTGTGGAAAAGTTCCCACCCAGAAATTCTAGTAATACTGTTTTACCTCTTCCTGCTTCCACATGGGATTTCTTTTCAGCTTTTAACCATTGGAATTTTCTGCCTGCTGTGTTCTTCTCCGGAAAGTATCTATTTGGAAATGCTGCCTTCCAAACCAATGCCATGATTATCCATACTGTTGAGTTGTTGTTGCTGTTCAAGAAGTGTCCCCATATAACAACTTTATGCACACACCTGGCAAATCATTGACATGAGCATTCAGCAGTACTGGGCTAGGGTGGGGAGGGGGGAGGGGGGGGTGGGGTGGGACAGGGCTCACCAACAGAACTGGCCCAAATGGCTGTGCCTAAAACGGCACCACCTTAAGGCCCAGATATGGGGTTGGTAAGCACAGTTCTGAAAATTTCTATCTAACCTCCGTTTTGAATGGTTTTGGGAAATTTTGTATATGGAGGATGGAAATGCTTATATATTTATTGAAAATTCTTTTATCTTATTTGAAATTAAAATTATTTGGTGAACGATGGTTTGATATTTGGGGAGGGTTTTGGAGGGGTGCTAATGCCACTGATCAAAGGCCTGTTGATTCTGCAGAAAGGTACTGTTAGTGTCTGATAGGATGCCTTTGTTTTGTACATGATCCAAATCTTCATTTTACATTTCTTTTATTCAAAATATTTAGGCATCTGACATTTTCAACCAAAATTTCAATTATATACTGTGATTTTTATTTGTTGCAATACATTAAAATTTCAGAGGTACTTTGGGGCTCAAAAGCTAGGATTTCTAAGTCAGTATGTGCATTTCACATAATAAAGCTGTTAATGGTGAGCAAAGTATTATATACTAACTAGATTTTTCCACATCTGTATAGTATATTATATGTATTTTGTGGTATTGAGATTATAGAAAGTTTAGAGTGTCAAACATGCGTTTAATGTGTATTTTTAAACAAATTTATGGCAATTAAAATATTTGGAGACAAGGGTATCACATTTCAATTTGTAAAGATCTTTTTAACTCTACTGTGTCATTAAGATGCTTTGTATAATGCCAAACCATAGCTGGAGAAACTAAGTTTAATAAATATCAAATAGATTTTCTGTATTAAAGTTTATAAACACTGTGCTCTTTACACTTCTTCAACTCTTACTTTCCCCTGTTCATGCATTGTTTTGTATCTTCGGGTTCCACTGCTATTCTTCTCTAAAAGTCCAGGTCTCATCATCTAATTATAGAAGTCGTAAACTTGCTGACCAAAGGGCTTTTGTATAGATCAGAATCTGCCACGCTCCAAATGAAATCTTTTATTTGCTGCTCTTGGCGGCGTGTGCATTTGTTTTATTGAACTAGGTTTTTCTTGCAGTTTTGCCTGATGTTCAGTGACTGACAGACTGGGCATATCATCAGGCAAGTGCCAGCGTGACCTTTGACACCTCACTGCAGTTTTTACTTGGAGTGAAGAGCAAGGGTCTGGCGTCCGCTTACCAGCTTGCCAAGGCCGATCACATAGCTATTGCTAAACTTCTGCCTCTGACCAGACATTGTGCTATTTCTTGGGGAAGAACAAATGTTCTCACTACACTTTCCAGAATTATTTAGGCAATGCTGTTTTTTTCTCCTATAATAGACAAAGTGATCCCTTCAAAACTTGAATACCACACTACCAGCAATTCAATTTGAGACCTTTAATAGTACACATAGAAAAATAAACTCTAAATGGACAAGTTGTGCTTCTCTACATATCAACATTCTAAGAAGAAACAGAGACCAGTTTCAAGCATGCATTTGTCTTTAAATATTAAAAACACATGACTGCTGCACATGTCTCCAGCCAAAATGCAATTAATCAATATTCCATAGAACGGAGCATTGTTGGTGAGTGCTGTCCACGTCCCCCTGGTATGTATATCATTCCTGTGCCACACTTAGGGAACAGCGTCTTTTTCTAGGGAAAAAGAAGAGGTTTTTAAGACTGAGGTGCCTAGAGCTCCCTCCACTGCATTTCCCTACTCTTCTCTAATACTGGACAAGACCTAAACAAAAAGCACCAGTGTGTACCTGTGTGGAGCTTCTTGGCTCTCAATGCCTGCAGGCTTCTGCATGGAGCTCCCCATGTCAGCCCAGGCAAGCCACCACCCCAGGTTTACTCTTAGGTCTGTGTGCACTGACTGTGCCTCTCTAGTTCCCAGGCCTCTGTGGCAGTCCTGTCCCCACGTCTGTGGTGTACCTGCACAGCCTCGTGATGCACTCAGAGTCATCCCGGCAAGAGACTCCAATAGGCCTGAGGGAAACCCCTCTCCAAAATGGAGTCATTCTCCGCAACCTTCTTTTCGCTGTACTCACTTCTGATATTGGGGAGCCATCTGCCTATAGGGAAAAGACAAGTACATTTCAGGCATGGAAGAGCGCACACCCTACTGCATGCCAGTGCAAGAATGATCTGTCCCAGGATGTTGTAGGCCTAGAGCAGAGGAACCATATCTCAGGACTGAGTCTGGCTTTCGAGTTCTACTTACCCTTCTACCACCACTGCCTCCTGATCGGTGCGTGCAGGTTTTTTCCTTACCTGGCCCAGCAGCAGCAGGCAGATCATGAGCACTGCCAAGAGTTTGAGGTACCACATCTTGACCCAGGGGATGTTGGTGCTTGCAAGCCAGGGGGCTGTTCCCCGTTTCCTTTTATAGACTGACATCCACCTCTTTTATGGTTGCCAGGTGAGATGGGTTCAAAGTTTATATTTGCAATCAGGGTCAATTTAATAAGTTAATGTCTACCAGAGGAATGTGCTCAAGCCCTGCCTTTCAGTCATTGCATGTACTGATCCCGCACCTGGACTTTGAGTGATTTATGTTGTTGGCTTGGACCCTTACCCATTCTATCAGGTCACCTCTACCCCCTCCTTTCCTTTGAGAGCCACGTGAAGCCATTCAGGGAGGCCTGGCCTGGTCCCTAGCCATATTTTGATTCCAGTATAGCTCAGAGAGATGACCCTAATCAAAACAGAACTCTCAATAATGAAGCCTTCAGAAATAGTGTTGACCACTTTTTAGTTCTGTCTAGGGGGGAAGCACTAATCTGTTGTGTTGAGGCAACTGGATAAGGCCCTTCTCTCTCTTCCATGGGAGACTGCTTCAGTAGGCACGGTCTACTGTGCTCAGATCTCTTATGTACATAGATGGACTGTCATTTGCTCTAGTTATCTGCTCCAGATCATGTAGAAGATTTGCAAACCCAATTGTGGAAAGTTCAAAATCTAGCCTGTCCTCTCTCCGGAAGGGCAGTCAGGACCGATGTGGGGCTTACCTGAATTATTCGAATGAGTGAGGGTTTTCTATTTATTTTAAAACTGTGAATGAAGAGGGAGCAGGCCTTCCTATATCATCGGGAGAGCTTGTGTGGTAGTGACAATCAGCCTGCAAACCTTGAATTAGGGAATTTCTTCCCAGAAGTTGACTGGGGCCTTCTATATAGCATATCCTTCCCATAGCTTCATGAAAGCAGGCGTAGGGCTGAGATACATTCCACACCCAAAACATTCACCAGTGCAAGTAGGAACTGCTGTAGGTTCCTAGAACACAGGAATGTACCTAAGTCATGAGTAATCAGGCATACTCATTAAATGCTGAGAATTTTGGGAAATGCCCATGGGGAAATGTGTGAATTCTAAGTAAGCAGGTTGATAAGACTTTACACCTTCTTATGACCTGGAAGAGTAAGTCAAGAAGGCAAACAAGAATCTTCGCTTTGTGTCTCTTGTTAAGTTGGCTGATATCTCTTCCCTTCTCTTCTTCAGAGGTTGAATATTTGTTACAAGCCTACCTGTTCCCCAAAGTAAAATAGTGGGGAAGCAGCATGTCTGAAGGGGCAACAGGATGTGGCCAGTCCTCTTGCAGAGGAGCAGAGGGTGGCATGTGGGCCGCAGAGCTGGGATGGAACAGGGTATGACTCCAAAGGTCTTTCTGTCCTGGTTCCTGTCCTCTCAGGACAATGCAGCCAGGTCTGAAAGGAAACGCGTTTTTGCACTACAGACACACTGAAATGCAGACTATGTCGATCTACCATGAACTGAAAAGACTTTAAATTGCAGGCACTGGCCTTCACAGTTATGGAAGGGGTGGCTGTGGACATCTGCTGTCACTTCAGCTTTGTGTCTGGCTGTTGCATTGCTTTTATGTTTTGACTTTTGCCAAGTATGAGAGTCTTCCCATTACCCCCGAGTTTGGACACTGAGTGACCACCCCTACCAACCCCCAGGAGGGGCCTAACCAGGAACTTCTGTGGAGTGGAGAAGAGACCATGTGGTGACCTAGTGGATATTGAGTAAGAACACAAATCCGATTAGTAAGCAAAAGACAGCAATGTGATGTCCTAGAGCCAGTTGGGCCTGTGGACTCTGCCAGTCTTCCTTTAGCCTGGGGTGTGTGATGTGCCAGATGGGATTTGGAAATTGTTCATTCGAAAAATGGGTACTTCTACTCCTCCTCTGCCTTCCTGTACTTGTACTCCAAGCCAAATCAGACTAGCCATCTGTGTTCATTTCTAAAGCCAATACCAAAGCCAAGGAAAGAGCCCGAGATTCTGGATCCCGTGTCTTAGGGGAGAAAGGGGCCATCGGTCATGCGTATGACAACACTGCAGCTGCCTTTGTGGCTACAGCCTCCATCTTGTATACCACCACGGAAGGCCCCGCCAAGTCGCTGCCTGTGGAAGGAACCACTTCTAAGGCCAGTAGAGCAAGTATGTCTATACTAATGGTAGTTCACATTCTTATATAATTTGCATAGGTACACTAAATATGAAGCAAAAATCAAACATTAAAAGCAATGCAGCATCCACATATGAAACTGAAGTGACAGCAGTTGTCCACAGACATCCCTTATGTAACTGTGAAGGCCTACATCTGAAATTAAAAATTAAAAATAAAAGTTTTTTTCAATTCATGGGTTCTCTGCAAATTTCTTTGTTTTGCTGAGTAATTATCAAAACCTTAGAAGCAACCTTTTAAAATTTTAGCCATGATAGGCCCTCCCTGGTGGCGCAGCGGGCTAAAGCATTCCACCGAGAAGCTAAAGCCACTTTCGCATGAGTTCGATCCCCACCCGCCCTGCAAGTGATTCACATGGTCACATGGTCACATGGCGTTGCAGACCTCACCTGACCCGCCTGCTGCTCCTCTCAGCAGTGCACTTCATCAGTTGGCCTGTTTTGCTTCCCACTGTCTCTGGTGAATCCTCTCACCACCCCTGCACCTCTGGCCTGTATGCATAAATAAATAAATCTTTAAAAAAAAATTTAGCATGAGAAAGACTGCTTGCCTGGAGCATAGGTAACTGACCACAGGCCAGCCCTTCCCTTCTTGGGACTTTACTCTCATTCTGTCAATGATATGTGAATAGATCCCCAAGACCTCTCAGGTACTGACATTGGGGTTCAAATTATTTGTTTACAAAAAGAAAATGAGACTGAAGAAATGTGATCGCTTATATATACTGATAGTGTAATAAAGCCACCAGGGATTTTGCGGCTTCTCGGTGTCTAGGAAGAAAGGGGGGTGGGGGCGGGGGTAGCTACAAGGGCAGCCATCTGAAACACATTCCAGGTCAGAGAAATCATTGCTACTCTACTAACTGGGAGCTCTTTCACTAACTTCTCCTGGGCTGGTAATGCCTAACAAAGAAGAAATTCTAAAGTGAAAAAGACTTTTCCAGGTAAAAGTTTTCAGCAAAGGGTCAAAGTGTTTCTACTTTTTTCCTAGTTGGAACTGGCACAGACCTCTGGACCTGCACTAGGCAGGCCTACATCTTGGGGTGATGCTGGCAGACTGGAGTTGCCATCGCCACACCATGCAGCCCAGAGAGAAAAGCTACTGTAGGGGCAGGAACCAGGCTGGAGACAAGGAAGTGGAATTGAGAGAGTCA